CTTGAGAATATTGACCCTCGCTACGGACACTATTCAACCGGCAAAAACTCTTGCTCGTCCCTTGACCGGCGAAAATTAAAACTGTCCCTCGTGCGGAAACGAGCGACGATACGTTCCACAAAGTCCCGCGGGACGGCAATTTGTTTTTATTTCTTGCAATTATCCGGATCCGTTCGATATGGGGGAACGAGGGGGCATCGAGCAAGCCTGATCCGGAAAATTAAAAGGTGTTTAGAAAGAGCGAGTCGAATTTCGAGCCATTGTCGCAGCGGACGCTATGAGCGGACGGGGTTTCGTTTCGTCGCGCTTTGTTGCATTTCGCTTCGCTTTGTATACCGCTGCGAAACCGTGCTCTTCTTCCGCGTGGCCGATAAATTCATACCGATCGCGCGTAAATTCGCGCCGGTCGTATGTATTTCGGCGTCACTTTTTGCGAGCGTCCCAACGATATTTTTTACAGCGCGGGGGATGAAAATAATATCGCGCAAGATAGGAAAATATATTGATTTCGTGTACTTTGTGTCGATGTAAAATCGCGTAAACACGAAACGGCACTTCGGCAAATCATACACACGCCACGTTGCACGCTATTGCTCGAGGAAAAAAAAAAAAAAGAAAAACAAAGGTCCAGCCTGGACATTTTCCATCGCGTCAATAGAACCAATCGCGTTAAAAGACTCCTTACGCGGTTGCCGACTTTAAAGATCTCGCCGAGAAGGAAAAAATGGGAGTAGGCGCGGCAAAGAGGACAAGAAGTAGCCAAGGGAGGAAATAAAAGGGTCTCACAAAGAAAACCCCAGGGGGGATTTCTGTGTATACCGAAGTGACAACTATACACGCTTCGGCATTATGAATTATTTACGCTACAACGACGCCTGCGCTTTTACTCGAATTTCACTGACGAGTCGACACTGACGCGTTGCATTACGCGCGATGCAAATATCTTCTGTAAACGGTATCTTCGAAGCAATATCGAGCTCACTGCAGGTATTTGCAATCGGATCCAAAGAAGCTTTCAGCAAAAGCACGAAAGAATGCGGAACTTAAATAATCGTTGAGTAAGAACGTAAAATAGCGTCGGTGGGATCGTCGCAATGTTATGTAATTTTATCTAAAAATGTCTGTACATGTATATTACGAAGATTATAAATAAATTACGCACAATTTTTCTCCGATATTTTGGGAAGGACTCTCGAGAGTAGTGCGTGCGTCGAGAAAAAGTTCCGCTTGACGCGAAATCAATCGATTTGATCTCCACATCGCGCATTTGTCCAAGAAGACTCGCGCGCTTCTCCCCGAATTAGCCTCGAGAAATCACGTTGAAGGAAGAAAGGAGAGCTCCTCTGGTTGTTCCGCTTCCGTCTCGATCGGTGAAAAAGTGAGCGCATAAGTTTCGAAGCTCTTAATGATAGCTACCAAGGAAGGGAAACAAATTTGCCTGAGAACGGAGATTGCTCGCAAACTCGAAAACCTTCTGCAGGTTGCGATTTTTCACGTACGCTCGCGCGCGCGTTCACACTCATTCGTTCGGTGTGCGTATGTATAGTCGCCTATAGTCGTGATGTTAAAAATTTAATGGGCTTCGTGAAGCTCGTAATCCTCGAGATGGACGCTAAATGTTGCACGGGTCGAGGTCCCACTCGCTGCTCGGTTGAGAGTGCACCGCGGGCTTGTCGCAAAGACAAATGCTCTTAGATTCGATTCTGCTCGTAATTGAATCTTGACTTGACCTACGAGGGAGAGCGAGAGAGAGAGAGAGAGAAAGTAAGGGAGAAAAACGCAATACTTCTTGCGGACTGAAACATGTGAAGACACGCTCAGAGAGAATGCAAATTGCGCAGAGAGTGCCGCGTCACTCTCGGCGCGCGCGAACGACCTTCGGCCGAGGCTCGAGTAATAAGTATCGTGTAATCCCTGAGCATATATAATCAGATTCCTTTTTTAATCCACCAAAGCGCCACGTATCACGCTCGTCCCGACGACGGTGCATTTACCACAGCAGCGTGGATTAATTTCGCTCGCGGGGGTGAGGAATGATTTTTCGGGACGAGGAATTCTTAATCTCGTGATCGAAAATCAATACACCATCAACCGCAATGCAAGTTGAATCGCAAAAATATCGCGCGTGGACGAGCACGAAACTCGGCTGGAAAAGCTTACTTGAGGAAAAATTCTCGAATTTGGGCACGAATTTTGGGGTTATGCGAGAAAGCGAGGCACTTTCCTTCGTTAGTGAAATTCGTCGATTCGACTTTCCGGGACAAAAGATTCGCGCTTCGGGCGAGCATCGCGCTCGCTAACTACGAGAGAACAGATTCTCCTGACAGACTCAAATCGACAGACTCGCGGATGTAACTTGGCAGCAACAGGAATATTACTTACATGCCTGTAAACAGCCGCGCGCACGTACGAAACACAGAAAAAGAGAGAGGGGGGGAGAGAGAGAGAGAGAGAGAGAGAGAGAGAGAGAAAGAGAGAGAGAGAGAGAAAGAGAGAGAGAGAGGGAGGAAGAGAGAGAAAAAGAGAGAGAAAAAAAATTCCGCTTGACACACTTCTCCGTACTGCGCGCATAATGGCATATACACATTACACGATGTTCTTTACACCACCGTCACGTTTTGTGCCGAGTGCCCTTCTTTTCGTATATACATGATAAACTACCAGCGCAGTTATTAGCAACGACTTCTCAACGACGACGACGATGATGACTACTACGGCGAACGAGGCGAAGACAATGAAGCCGCCGAGGATGGCAATGGGTTTCGACGTTTGGACAAATTTTCGAGCGGGTCGTCATTTGACGAGGCCGCTTGTCGTAATTAACATTAAATATCCTTGTATTTAATCCTCCGACGAAATTACTTTTTACCCCTTATCTCCAGCTGAATTTTTGAAAATTCCTGCTCTGAAATCCTCCTCTGAAATTTCTTCAACGGGAATCGCGCGAGACTGAACGCAAAACGATCGCACGTTGTTCCCAAAATTTGCAAACGCGAAGGACGTCCTGGCACGCTCGTTTACGTCTAACTCTGTCGACAAATCTCGTGAAATTGCTAACCACCGTGATCATAACGAGTCAAGAGGAAGAGAGGAAGAAAGAGAGGGAGAGGAAGAAAGAGAGAGAGAGAGAGAGAGAGAGAGAGAGAGAGAGAAGAGAGAAGAGATTGGGCGAGAGGAGAGCGGAATACGCTTTCCGCTTCGACGGCCGCATCGCGTGCCACATGTTTCCAATTCGCGATGGGCGAGGCGAGGCACTAAAAATACAAGCGCATGCATTGTGGCGCTCTCAACGCATCCCGCCGGTTATTTCGCGCCCGGAACGTGTCCGGAAAAACTTCACGTCTCTTGTCCTCGCAACTTGCCACTCACCTCGTCGACGACCGCTCTCCTCTCTCTCTCTCTCTCTCTCTCTCTCTTTCTGCAGCTCTCGTCCTTCGCGTACCGCACCCGCTGGCGGTCCTCAAGTTCTCACGATCGTTTCGCGGAGCATGTCGCCTTGCCAAAGTGGAGGAAACTTTTCCGCCGGCCGTTGTTCGCGGAGGACCACGCGGTATTTCGCGGAGAACCATCGCGGCCTGGCCGACCGATCCGTTTCGAGAGACTCTCCGGTCGCGATCGGAAACGCCGCACGATTTATTCGTCGAGATTCTCATCGTGCATACAGTACACACTACACGCTACTTTTGCGAGCGTGTTCCGTCCATTTTGAGGATGAGAAGAGATTACATAAACATAAATTCAGAAACTACCTCATCCTCGAGATAAATATAGTATTACATTGAAGCTCTTGAAATTTATTTCTATATATCATATATATATATATATATATTGTATTACATTTCGTAGGTATTATATTACGTGTACATGGGGGGAGAGAAAGGGGGAGAGAGATTGATATCGCGCAGCGTACCGTGCATCCAATCCGTTTGTGTTCGACCGAGAAAGGACGAGCGACGATTTCTGCTCTTATAATTGGTCCATATCACTTGTCGCTCATAGCGTCCGATTATGGTCGACATGTACCACTTGCTTGCGATAGTGTCTGGTTACGGTACGATCGCGTCACTTGCGCCCGATATCGCGCGCGACCACGATCGATCCGTATCACTTACGGCACCTCGGACCGTCCGACTATAACCAACTCCATTCACTCGTGACTCAATATCGATGGACAGTCAGAGGGAGCAACTGTTGGACGACTAGAGCGACTCGTTGCTTAGATCGACCGCCGAGATTGAGCGTGCTCGCTCTCCCGTCTATTTCTGTCGCGAGACGCGGCCTACGAATCCATTTGGCGTGATTTCGCCGATTCTCGCGGTCTCGTTCCGTCGTCGTCATCGCCGTCGCTGCCGCCGCCGCCGCCGCCGCCGCCGCCGCCGCCGTTGTCCCCTCACAATCCTCGAGGAGTGCGAGGGATCGTAAATTCCAACATCGACGATTATAAAGCGCGCGCTATCGCGACGCGATTTACTTAATGGCCCTCGCGCCCTCGCCTAGCAGATCCCGTGTCACTGCGGAGGGCATCATCGAGAAAATCCCCCGGGCGCGATCGCCTCGAATCACTTCCGTTATTTATACCTGAGGGGCTGTCGCGAGGCGTCCCTTATGAAAAATGGCCGATCGATCGGTGGACACACGAGGTGATTAATTTCAAGCGGGTACGACACGAAAATTGAATCAGTCGCTGGTGAAATCAATCGTGCGGTTATAGTAGCTTAATCGTGCCTGCGACCGCACGCATTTGGCAGAAACAATAAACTCGGGAATATTCAATAAAAAAGTTACCGAGCAAGAGCTCACGACGCACGTATTTCTTTTTTATTAGTCCTATCGTGAGACGATCGCTATACTGATCTCGTCGTGATTACGTCGACGATCACGCGATTGTTTTGCGAGAAGTCAATTATCCCCTCGCGTCGTTATTAGCGCGTCTCGTTATCGCGATATCACGGTAAGAATTCTCCCGTAATAACGGGATTAACTGTCATCGCATTACTCACTCTGTTCCAAGCCGATGTCCATCTTGCTCTGCCTCTTGAGACTCACGAGCAGCATCTACTCGAGTACTCGCTGCAAGTCGGCGGAGTTCACTGCGCACGCGGAAGCTTTAAGTCGTTATCAGATTGTTACGGTAGCATCGCGAGCGGTAGAACACGACGGTGAGAGACGACGCGCGGTATCGCGAATCCTTCATCGTGCTCTCGCCCCAGGAGGATACGTTGATCAGCCGGTTTCTGAGAAACCACCGCCGCCACCGTCGTCGTCGTCGTCGTCGTCGTCGTCGTCGCCGTCGTTGTTGTTCTCGTCCTCGTCCTTGTCCTCGACGTCGGTGATTCCAATCTTCGCACTCGCACACTCGTTATACTAATATCAACTCACCGAGACGCACCGCGAGCTCCATCGAGCTCTTTGCTTTATCTATAATGAACTATGAATGACGACGACGGCGACGGCGGCGGCGACGACGACGACGACGACGACGACGACGACGACGGCGGCGGCGAGGTTTCCTTTGCCTCGCGAGTCCACCCTCTGATTCGACGTCCACTTATGCTGCGGCGAAACACACTTGCTTCCTGGGCCCACCCTCGCCCCCCGAATCTACAACCTCGTCGCACTCAAAACATCCCTTTATCAGCACTCGTCCCGAGACGTTGAGACTCACGCGAGTATCGAGCCGATACACAATCACGGCCGACGGCCGACGGCGAACGACAGAGCGCGACTCGCTCGCGACGACGACGGGGTCGTCCTCGAGATCGACGATCCAGCCCGGATCGAGATCGCGAACGCGACGATGAGAGGCAAAGTGAGAGATAGAGACGACGAGGCAGAGAAGAGAGAGCTTCGATCTGTGAGAGACGAAGTCGAGAGACGCGCATACGAGAGAGAGAGAGAGGAGCGGGCGGCACGAGAGAGCGACGACCAGCGAGCGGTGCCTCGTTTCGCGAGGAGTGTACACCGCCGGCTCCGTACGGACGCACCCCCGTGGCGACGGTAGGGCGCAGGATCGCCTCCGTCTCTCGCTGGGGGGTGGCTGTGGCGCATGTGCGGCGCACGACGCACGGCCTGAAACCTGAGGGCCGCATGCGGGGAACGCGTATAGTCGCAGCCCCGTTCCGTCGACCCGGTCTCTCCCTCACTCTGTTCTCCACACTTTCCTCTGCATCTCGCTCACTCTCTTCCTCTTCCTCTCTCTCTCTCTCTCTCTCTCTCTCTCTCTCTCTCTCTCGCTCTCTCTCTCTCTCTCTCTTTTTCTCTTTCTTTCCCTCTCGGCCTTTCCGCTTTTTTTGTATATTAGGTAATATATGTCGGATAATTTTAGTTTGCGCGTTTGTGCTAATTTTCTTGTGCTTTTTGACGCCGAATAAATAACACTTCCCTTCTTCCGTCTCGCTCGCCGGCCAACTACTCTCTTCGCTCTTATCGCGCAAGCATCGATGCGCTTTTTTATCTTTGTTCCTAAATTATACCGACGACGGCGAGGATCCGCGTTCGCTTCGTGCTGCAGGAGAAACTTTGTCTCCCGGGTCTCCGATAAATGTCTCTCCCTCTCTTTCTCTCTCTCTCTCTCTCTCTCTCTCTTTCACCCCCTCTCTCTATCGCTTATTCTCTTTCTCTCGTTCTTTTCCTCTCTCTCTCTCTCTCTCTCTCTCTCTCTCTCTCTCTCTCTTTCTCTCTCCGTTAGTTTTCCAGTTCTCTCTTTCTCTCTTATTCCCTCGTTTCGCCCTTCGCTGTCGCTCCTTGCGAATCCTCTCGTCGCGCTCGACTCGAGGTGACGACGCGCCGGGGAGGTCGAACGCCGTCGGTCTTTCCTCTCTTTCTCTCCTTCCGCTCTTTCCCTCTCTTCTCCCCGCCCCCCTCCCCCTCGTCGAGCCCTAGAAGCGCGCGATCGCTCGCCGGAGGTAGACTAGGTAGACGAAGTAGGTTTCACCCTCCTCGGGACGCGCTCACAGTTTTCCAGATACTCGTATTAACACGTTGCGCGTCCAAGTAGGACGTAATAAAGTGCAAGATCGTCGCGCACCACTCTATAATTCAAGACGAGCGTAACAAACATTCACGCAAATATACACGCAAACTTGTGGAAAAAATGCGGCCAATTTTTTACCAGGGATCATTAATATTATAAGCGACGTGCTTCGCGCAGAAACTACCTTGAATAAAAAATCCGTTGTAATTTTTCCCTCTCCGCGTGGAACCGATGGAAATTTTACCGAGCATTCGCAATTCGCTCGCGCAATTCGCACGGGCATGAGAATCAAAAGAAATCGATGACCGATAAATAGTCCGTCCGCTTTTAGCGCGTCGGGATTTGTTGTTTATGTACGCGACGTGTCGCACTTAGCTCGCGAAATCACGACTCGCGGTTGGTCGGAATATCTTCGACGTCCCCGTTCGAGATGACGACGGGGAAGATGTCGAGAGATGGACGTAGGCGGGGGTATCTCGAATATGGATGACTCTCGATCTCATATCGGGGCGACGGCCGAAATTTTATTCATAATCGCGCGCACAAAAGTGGGCCAACCTTCGCTTCTCGTCAACACTCACGGTTTCACCCTAATACAGTTTTCGCCCCCGCGTAACGCACGCTTCGTGACGCACGATCGTTCTGATCCTCCTCTTTGTCGTCGTCGTATACGTCTCGTCCCGGCGCTTCATTTAAATCCCTGAATCTTCTTAAAGCTTCGACCTCCGCGCGCGCGCGCGCCTCCGATTCTGCTCTCGTTCTCAATTCGCTCTCCTTCGCGACAATTCAACGCGAAACGGACAGCCTCGATACCAGCTGATACGTCGGCCGCATCGATATATTTCGCGCGCAGGCGGCGACGTCTGATCTTTATTCTCCTACGCCTACCGCGACGGGACGTTCGCCTCAATAAACGAGCCGATAAATGTGCGCTCGGGAAATTCCGCAGACGCGCGCGATTCTGGAAACGACGAGATCCTCGTCGAAAATTACGCGCTGTCTGTTCCCTTCCTCCCCCGCCCCCATTCATAGGCATGGTATCGTGGGGCTGATATTTTTCTGTCGCTAATTACGCTTCGTTATTTCAAAATGATCGCGTTGAATTATTCCCTCTGTTCGCGCGTCTCTCTCGAAAAAGTACAAATCCTGGCGTTGGTCTCGCGACACCGAGGTTTATGCAGAATTGATCGTTTATCATCTTTGTGTTACTCCGCCTATGGCCGTCGTGTAGTGTGTGTTTCTACTCGAACGTTCGATCGTGCGCGGTCCTTGCTTATTCAAGCCTTGCCGCGTTTCGGTGGGATTTCAAGAGAGACTCCGGGAATATGAAAGATACATCTCCACGCGACGAATGGGCAGACCGAGACCGAGAGAGATGTTCCTTGTGAAAAATGACGGCGCGATTTTTAATGATATCGTCTCGTGTATTGCGACCTGTTCGTTTTATGTGTCATTAATTTAATTTGTGATAAAAATTTTACGTCCCACCGCGGTTTATCGCAGTCAGAACGCGCGAGACTGCGACACGCTAATTACGAAGAATAATTTGATCTCGTTACGAATCTTTTCAGTCGCGGCTACATTTTCAATTAATTTAACGAATCGATCGTTTCTTCTGCTCCTCTCTACGAGCTCTCGTGGAATAATCAATTTCGAGCGTGTCAATAGCAATCTTTCGACGGCAGCGACGCACGATAACTCTCCATAGCGTGAAAATGCGCTAATAAGTAATTGATAAAGTCAATAAAACAATTAGCGCATTATATGAAATTTAGTTAGGAATATTGCGATGAAATGAATGGCAACGAATAACGTGCAAGATAATTGCGAGATATGCTAAGCAATCAAATTAATTAAGGTATTTCCATGCCTTAATTATCTCATCGTTGTTACGAATTAAATAAAATTCTACCTTGTAGTGTCAATTTATTCTACGTGAATAGTAAAATCTGTACACATCGGCAATTTGCCGACCACGATGAAATCTCGTCAAAATCAATTTCTCTCAACAAGGTGAGTTGTTTCATCCGTACGATGAAGAATTATCGTTAATTCACATTACTGAGCTGGCGTGTGCGAGAGGAAAAGAGGAGGAAAAGAGGAAAAGCGGAAACGTCTCCTTACCGATTATCGTGGAGGTGCAGGATCACGGTGGGAAGCTCTCGTTCGTCATCTCTCGCACCTGAAGACGTATTTGATACCACGCATCAAGGCCCGCATCTTCGCAATCACCTCCTCTTGCATGAGATTAAAACACATGGCGATCAGCGCCATGCCTAAAACACATAAACGTTACCGGTCCGTTAATATCTCCATCCTGAAGGACGTGAGGATTGCGGAAGAGTCTGCAATTTTGCGCCACTATGAATATTATTGTGTGCGAATTGTTCCGCACACGATATTGAGAGAGATAGAAGCAGGAAGGCAGAGAGAGAGAGAGAGAGAGAGAGAGAGAGAGAGAGAGAGAGAGAGAGAGAGAGAGAGAGAGAGAGAGGGAGAGAGAGAGAGAGAGAGAGAGAGAGAGAGAGAGAGAGAGGGAGAGAGAAAGAGAGGAAGAAAGAGACTGAAAGAGCGGCCGCTCGCGTGCAAACGGTCGGAGTGCTCGACAGCACTCGAATATCTCCGTGAAAAAAATCTGCGGGAGCATTGATTGAAAAGAACGTAATGCGCTCGCAGCCGGTACGTCGTAATCGCGTTGCGGGCTTTAAAGCAGCTGATCACTTTTCAATCGACGATTGTCTTCGCGCCGCAACCGTTGCACGCCGAAAATTCCGCGACAATCCGATCTGCCGAAAAAGCAAAGCCGCGCGCTAACTGTTCTTTCATCTCGCGATGAACGCAGTGACGTAAATTTCGGCAGAAATGTCGCGCGATTTTTTTACTTTACTCGTCGCTTTCATCATTTTTAGCACGAGCTTCAACGCATATGATACACCCTCGCGAATCCTCACTCGTCCTCTTATCTCGTCTCTATTACTCTCGCGGCATCTCTTTCTCGTAGAATAATCCGACGTAGCACAACGCCTCCGGTCACCCGCATCAGCGTTCGCGTTGGCGAGTAGATTTATCGAGGGGGAAGAGCCAAAGAGGCAGCCCGGAGAAATTTCTTTGAAGGAAACATCGGGAGTTCTCGCTACGGGCTGCTAAATGCACGTTTAAACTAATCCGTCAGTGTAACAGAACGCGACGTCATATGCAAAACTCACCCAGCATCAGGTACATAGAGCAGAAGATGAAAGACAGATCGAGGCCTTGCCCGGAGTAAATCTCATCGCCCGGGACGAAATCGCCGAAGCCTATGGTCGACAAAGAGACGAAGCAGAAGTAAGAACCGTCCAGCAAGTTCCAGTCCTCCCATATCGAGAACAGAACCGCGCCGCCCAAGATATACCTGTCGACAGCAGTAAAGTCGCGGAAGAAACGACTGTCAGTCAGGTTAGGTTAGGTTAGGCTAGGTTTCGTAAATTCTCATTCCGGCAATTTTCTCTGCACTTTTCTCGCGCCGTTTTCCCAACTTCGATCGCAGTTTCGCACATTCGCACGAGCTGATTACCGAACGAAGTCAATATGATTCCGAGGGCGAAACGTCAGGAAGTTTTACGCTTCCACAGAATTCTACAGCAGTCGAATTTTTTGTCCGAATCGGGAAAAACGATTTGTGGCTATCACAAAGTCAATTTCCGATCACGAAAATTTATCATTTTCCGAGCTAAATTTTAGTCGAATATTTCTCTAGTCAACATCGAAGCCTGACATTTCGTATTAATTTCGTTTATATTCCAAAATTTCAGTTTCAAATTGTAAGTCGGAAATCTGATGAAAGTTTTTATTTCGTAATAAGAAGCAATTCTTGGCTACTTGGAAATCAATTTTCAACCCCCGAAAATTTATAACATTTCAAATTAAATTCACGTTGAATAATCGGCATGATACATAATATAAAAATGATATTTCGTATCGATTACAAAGTTTATATTTCGGCATTTTATACCTTGACGAATTTCTAGTTTAATCAAAAAGAGAGAGAGAGAGAGAGAGGAATTCTCAGTCC